AGCTCAATAGTAGAGTGCCCCTGGGCTCTATCCCTAGTACTTAGGAAGAAAGAAATGGGGTCGGGGGAGAAGAAAGGAAGAAAAACAGACAGACTTGGCATGGTGGTGCAAACCTTTAATCCCAGCAGTTCAGGCAGCTGAAGCCAGCCTCAGCAATTTAGTGAAACTCTAAGCAACTTAGATCCTGTCTTAAAATTTTAAAAAGGGAGGAGGGGGCTGAGGATAGCTCAGTGGTAAAGCACCTCTGGGTTCAATCCCCAGAATGCCACCTCCCCCCTAAAAAAGAGAGAGGAAAAAAAAAAAACTGAAGGCAACCACCATAAAATAGTTCTGCCGGATATGATATTGGCACATGCCTGTAATCCCAGTGGCTTGGGAGGCTGACACAGGAGGATCAAGAGTTCAAAGCCAGCCTCAGCAATGGGGAGGTGCTAAGCAACTCAGTGAAACCCTGTCTCTAAATAAAATTCAAAATAGGGTTGGGATGTGGCTCAATGGTTGAGTGCCCCCGAGTTCAATCCCTGGTACCCACCCACCCCGCCAAAAAAAAAAAAAAAAAAGAAAATTTTATTTTTAAAAAACCAAAAAATAAATATATATATATATATATACAGATATATATATATATATACAGAGTTATATATATATACAGAGTTCTATATACCAACAGAAAGCTGCAGTAGTTTAAAGATAATATCTGTGGATACCATAGAATGTTAGAGCTTAATTTTATCATCAGAGCTAAATTATGATCTTAGGACCACTTTGTATATGCTTTCTGGGGAAGGGGGTAAGTTCCTGATCTGGAAGGGGAGCCTCAGAAATGCCCAAGCCATCCTTTTTCACTGCCATGGAGGTCCCTGCCCTCCATGTCCTCAGTCCTAGAATTTTTCCTGCCTTCCCTCAGTATCATTCCTCTATCACAGCGAGGAACACAACAGTTGGAGGGACTCAATAAAAGCTGATATCCAGTTTCTGAGTTATTTGCATCCCTTTTTTTTTTAGGCTGTGGAGGAGACATTACTAGAGGTTGAACCCAGGGTGCTCTACCACCGAGCTGCATCCCAAGCCCTTTTTATTTTGAGACAGGGTCTTGCTATGTTGCTAAGGCTGGCCTTGATCACTTCTGCCTTAGCCTACCAAGTCACTATTGCTAGGTATATAGACATGTGCCACCATGCCCCGCTTCATACTGTCTTTATTTCCAAAGAAATCAGGGGTCAATGATGTAACCTAGTGGTAAAGCACTTGCCTATATATGCAAAGGGCCCTGGGTTCTATCTCCAGCATGGCAAAAACAAACAAACAAAAAAACAAAGAAATCAAACCCAGTCTGAATAAAAATAGAGAAAAAATGGAATGAACTAATTTTTCTATTATTTATAAGTTTATTTTTTTAAAATTCATGTTACTACTGAGCTATATTTCCAGTCCCCTTTTTTTCAGCTGGGGCTGGAACCCAGGGTCTTAGGCAAGCAGGCTACCCTTTCAAGCTCAACTCCTGACCCCTATAAGTTTTAGTAAGTATATGAAATTATACTTTGGGCATGGTGATGCATTTCTGCAGTCTCAACAACTAGGGAGGCTAAGGCAGGAGAATTAGCTGAGTTCAGGAGTTTGAGACCAAATGATATAACATATGGAGACCTTCACCCAGAAAATAAGAAAAAAATATGAAATTATAATAAGGAAGTGGTCCCTACTCTGCTCCCCCAGTACAAGAAGGGAGAGCAAGGAAGCAAACTAGAGAATGGGAAAAAAAAGGAAAGAAAAATGGCACTGTGAAAAAGGATGTCAAGATGTATTAAAAATTTGCTTAGCAAAAGGGAGAGCCCTTGGGCTGGGGTTTTGGCTCAGCGGTAGAGCGCTCGCCTAGCATGTGCGAGGCCCTGGGTGTCCAACTAAAAAATAAATATTAAAAAAAAAAAGAAAATTAAAAAAAAAAGGGAGAGCCCTCCTGTGGTTGGTTTGTTTGCAGTACTGGGAATTGAACCCAGGGGTGCTTAACCACTGAACTACATCCCCAGCCCTTATATATTTATTTATTTATTTTAATTTTGAGACAGGGCCTTGCTAAGTTGCTTAGGGCCTCACTAAGTTGCTGAGGCTGGCTTTGAATTTCATATCCTCCTGCCTCAGACTCCTGAGGTGCTGGGTTTACGGGCATGTAACACAACGCCCAGCTAAGTCAAGGTCTTGCTGAGCTGCTGAGGCTGACCTCAAATTTGGGATCCTCAGCCTGCAAAGTAGCTGGAATTACAGGTGTGCCATCACCATCCAGGTCCTTCCTGTGGTTTCACCAGTTGATCTGGTTTAGGGATTTTCTCTAGCAACACTCCCACACCTTCTTGTCCTACTACAGTCCTTTTCACATTGTGCACTGTACTTTGATTGTTTGTCTCTCGCTACCACTGGACCATGAGTTCCTTAAGGACAAGGATTTGTTTGAGTCCTTGACCCCCAGGTCCTGGCACATAGTCAGTCATTAGTAAATATTTGCTAAATAAATAAAGAAGAAATTTAAAGGGGTGGGGTGGGAAGTGTGGTTTATCCAGAGCTGGACTGGCAAGGCAAACAGAAAAGAGGGAGGTGCTGATAGGAAAACTGCTTTGAGTTTACCCAGCTGTTAAGGAGGCTAGCAGTGCCAACTCATGACTGATGGTTCAGGAGGGCCTTTTCTCCTTTTCTCTGACCTCTACTCTGGCTTCCATTTTCACCTGCCTTTTCAAGAAACCTACACTATTGGGTATCACTTCTCTTCTGTATTCATCCTCTTAGAGCTTTTCTTTGGATTTTAAACATAATTTAGTATTTCTCATACTTAATGATCCTTCATCAATATTTACTTATTTATCTCCATTTGATTTCATGGCCAGACTTCTGTAAAGTTATATGCTTTTTCATTCTTAATACAATGGCTTCCATTACCCATAATTCCAGGCCATTAATGATTTATAAGTCAGTGAATCCTGTTGCCCTTTTCAGGCATCAGATTTGAACTTTCACTAGCATCCAGTCCTGCTGGCCAATACTTTTTTTTTCCAGTGCTGAGGATTAATCTCAGGACCTCATAGGTGCTAGGTAAGCTTTCTACCACTGACTACACTTCATTATTTGAAATATTTCTTTAGATTAAGTAGGCTAGACCATTCTCGTTTTTCTCCTACTCACTGGCTATGCCTTCTCTGTCTTTGTAGATACATTTCCTTGCTAGTATAGTAAGTTCAAGACTGGGCCCTATGTCTGCTTCAGTTTTATATTCATGGACCTTTATTTTTATGTGGTGATGAGGATTGAACTCAGTGCCTCACACATGCAATGCAAGTGCTCTACCACTGAGCTACAACCCAGCCCCTGCTTCAGTTCTTACTTCACCTTTTCCCCCTAAGTGATGGAATCCACTCCCATAGCTTCAATTAACAACTAAAAATACATGAGTTCCCAGCTATATCTCTAGCCCAGATCTCTGAACTCCAAGATGCATTTATAGAACTGTCCCCATCTTCACTGCCCCCTGCCATTCACCCTTCACCCTAACATGGTTTCTCTCACGAGTTCAATAATGCCAAATTGGATTAACACTTCACAATTCTTGTCTTCCCTAACCTTTCTCTGACACAGGACATTGTCAGCCATTCTCTTGGAAATTTTCTCTTCCCTTATTTTAGTACTCTGTCCTAGTTGAAGACTATTTCATTATCATTTTAATGGCTCTTCTATGTGCTTTTTAATTTTAAAAAAAATTTTTCCCAATTTTTTTTATTATGGTAAAATACACATAATGGGGTATGGTGGTACACACCTGTAATCCCAATGATTCAGAAGGCTGAGGCTGAGGCTGAGGCAGGAGGATATCAAGTTTGAAGCCAGCTTCAGCAAGTTACAGAGGCCCTAAGCAACTCAGAAAGACCCTGTCCCTAATTAAATTATAAAAAAGGGCTGGGGATGTGGCTCAGTGGTTAAGTGCCCCTAGGTTCAATCCCTGATACCAAAAAAAAAAAAAAAAAAGGGCTGGGGGTATAACTTAGTAGTAAAGCACTCCTGGGTTCAATCTCTGGTACCAAAAAAACAAAGCCACACATAATACAAAAATTTACCTTTAACCATTTGATTTTATTTTTGGTACCGTAGATTTAACTCAGGAGCACTTAACCACTAAGTTTCATCCTCAGTCTCTTTTTTCTTTTTAATTTTGAGACAGGGTCTTGCTAAGTTGCTGAGGCTGACCTTGAATTTGCAATCCTCCTGCTTCAGCCTCCCAAGTTGCTGGGATTACAAGAATGTGTCATTGCAAATGGCCCCTTAAATCATTTAAAAGCACAGTTCAGTGATTTTGAATACCTTCATAATGTTGTATAACCATTGCCACCATGCATCTCCATAAGTTTCTCATCTTATAAAACTGAAATGCTACATGTTAAACAATAACTCCCCATTTCCCACTTCGCCCACCTCTTGAAAATGACCAATCTACTTTATGATCTTTGACTACTTTAAGTATTTCATGTAAGTGGAATCATATTTATTTTCTTTTTGTGACTGGCTTATTTCACTTAGCATAATGTCCTCAAGTTTCATCTGCTCTATCTTCTTCTTGGGACTGGTTTCCAAAACCTGAGGAAATATAAAGTACTGACTTATTAAGTAAAGACCAATTTATGCCACATCAGAAAGAGCTGGCTGGAAGAAAATCAAGCCAGAAGCACAAGAATGTTGTCCAAACATTTTGGTTCTTATAGAACAAGATCAGTTAGCCCTGACTTTATCCTCTCCTTTTGGGACTAGTGAAAAACTAATATCAGGTCACCCCCTTTCAAAATTCTCAAAAGGTTAATTCAGTATCAAAGTTCAATTTCTTAAAACCAATAGCTATTGAGTAAACACACTTAGCTTGGGCCTGGGGATGAAGCTCAGTGGCAGAGTGTGTGCTTAGCATGAGGCCCTATGTTTCATGCCCACTACCACAAAAATAAATAAATGAATGAACACACTTAGCTCTATACTTGAGTGCTACTGATATTTATTGAAAGCACTACAAAATAAGCCAGGACTAAAAGCTGCTATTTTACAGGAACAGATATTGGTGTAATTTCCTTCCTGAAGAGAGTATGCACTCAAGTCATGAGACTTAATATAAAACAAAGACTGTATTGTCAAGAATCAAACATGGACTATATTATACCTATTAATAGAAAAAAAATGCTAAAGGCGAAATGAGATGTTTAAAAATATTGATGCTAAGCTCACGTAAGCAAACAAAAACCTAACACTAATCCTAAAATTTTAGGACATAGGATCTAGATATAATGTGACTATTTAAAATTTAAAATTTTTGCATCAAAAGAAATTTTTTTGCATTAGTAAAAATTTGTTCTTCACTGTACTTGTACAATTATGTGCTTGTTGCTCTTACACTACACAAAGTCAATAGTTATCACCAACAATGGAATATAAGTAGATCTGAACAAGACTTCAAAGTGACTCTGCTCCACTCAAATGCAGAAAATTCAATCCAGGATTAGTAACACCTTTTGATTTTAGAGCCAGCTTGCTCTCTCTTTTTTCATGTCATATTAAATTAAGTCCTCACTTAACATTTCCCACCTGTAAATTACAAGGCATATCTACCACCATCTTTTTCTGACACTTTAAAATTAATCTGTAGAAATTGCAAAAACAATGAAATTGTACTTCCAATTCTGAGCCTGCAATCAGATTCCTGCTTTGACACAAAACATACTCCTCTGCAGTGTATCCCACCAGCACAGCGACCCTCTTTCTTTCTCTCTATTCCTTTGCCCTGAAGGCACTTCTGGATTGCTTAATACGTGCTCTTTGGCTGCCTACACAGTCAGGACACCTATGACCATGTGAACTTATCACTCCTCTCCTCCTTCTTTTCTATGGCTAATACCACTTTCCTCCTTTCTTTGTGTGGCTGAATCTGCAGACTTGGTGTTGTCATCAGGGGGACAAAGTCGATTTCGGCTTCGAGCTCCTGGTTGGTAGAGCTGCATTGCTGGACGATCCTGAAGCAAAATAAAATATGTACATATTATAACATTCTGTTAAGCTTTCACATAGGATTTTCAGAGTCATAAATTATGTATTAACATATACCAAACTAACTGAGCACACAGTACATGACAATTGTCCATCTACTCTCTCCAAAGAAAAGCAAACACTTCTGTAAGTATTATTTTATATGCCTAAGGTAAATTTTTGAGAAATCAACTGCCTAATTTTCTTAACCATTTCAACATGAACTAATTACTTTGAATTCTTTAAATCTTCAAAACCACAGCCATCAGCTATTTCTTCTCCCCATCAGTAAACTGACTTTAAAATGCAACACCACATAAAAGTGTTTAGGAGGGGTTGAGGATATAGCTCAGTGGTAGAGCGTTTAGTTAGCATGTGTGAGGCCTCTGGGTTTGTTCTCTAGCACTAAACACACAAAAATGTTTAGAAGTGAAAACAAATATAAGAATGATGCAATAAAAGAATGAAAACTCTTAAATTAGAAATTTCCCTGAAATTCTGATCTCAGATCCATAGAACATGCTACAAACATGGCATTTTTTTCTCACTAAATTGCCTAGTCTGGCCTTAAACTCACAATTCTCCTTCCTCAGCCTCTTTTTTTGGGGAATGGGGGGTTGAACTCGGGCACTCGACCACTAAGCCATATCCCCAGCCCTATTTTGTATTTCATTTAGAAACAGGGTCTCACTGAGTTGCTTAGCAGTCTTGCAGTTGCTGAGGCTAGCTTTGAACTCTCAATCCTCCTGCCTCAGCCTCCCAAGCAGCTGGGATTACAGGAGTATGCCACTGCACCCAGCCCTCCCTCAGCCTTTTAAGTAGCTAGGATTACAGGCGTGTGCTTCTGTGCCCAGCTAAAACATTATTGTTATTATTTTTTCATACAGACAGGCATTTACTAGAAAAGTGAGAAATGAGTATAATATACAGTATAGGCACTATGTGAACCACCTCTTCAGAGAATGGCTTATTTATCTACAATAAATATCCACATGTCCTTCTCCTAGATTACTTCTAACATTTTATCATATTTGCTTTGTCTCTAATGTATGTGTGCACATATTCTTTTCACACACACACAATTATTTCTGCAGAACCATTTGAGAAGTTACGGACCCTTTATCCATAAATAATTCAGCTAGTTATTTTCACCGACATTCTGTTATTATAATCACAGTAAAACTGCTATTGATTAATCATAGCATCACAAAGAAAAGGACACCCAGACACCATGGTTACTGAAGTGATGCAATCGAAAGGAAGTACAGCATCACCTACAAAGTATTCTTGCCAAAGATTATGGCTGAATATATCCAAGTGTCTAGATTACAGGTGGCCTGGTTTTGTAAATAAAGTCTGACTGGCACAGTCATGCTCATTTTTTTTCTAGGGCTGAAGCCAGCCTTAAATATTTACCATGAGGTCCTTTACAGAAAGTTTGTTGGCCTCTGCCCTAGAAATAACTACTAATTTTCTTTTTTTCTTTTTTAATTCTTTATTTTTGGTACTGTGGGTTGAACCTAGGTCCTTGTGCACGCTAGGCATGCACTCTGCCACTGAGCTAGAACCTCAGTTGTTTATTACTAGTTTTTTAAAAATATTTTTTAGTTGTAAATGGATCTTTTATTTTACTTTTTTATTTATATGCGGTGCTGAGGATCGAACCCAGGGCCTTACATATGCCAGGCAAGTGCTCTACCACTAAGCCACAACTCCAGCACCTGATTACTAGTTTTAAAGGAAAAATGGAAGATACATGTTCAATGATACAAAAGACATGTAATTTGCCATTCTAGAATGTGAGAAGCTCTACAAGAAAAATTGGTTTCTGCAACAAGTAAATAAATGGTAGGAAAACAAAAAAGGGAGAACTGTTTAGGTTAAAAGAGAACTCCCAACTACTATGTATAACCGTAAAGTTCTAACAAAAAAGAACTTAAGGAGATATTTCAAGCAAATACAATTTATGGAACTTTATATGAATATATGACATTAATAAAGCAATTAGGAATTGAGAAAATCTGAACTCTGAGTAGATAGGATGTTGAGGAATTATTGTTAGTTCTTTTGGTGTGAAAATGCTGGTGGGAATATATTATTAAGAAAAATACTCAGGCTGGGGCTATAGGTCAGGGGTAGAGTGCTGTTCAATTCCAAGTACAAAAAAAAAAGGGGGGGGCTGGGGTTGTGGTTCAGCGGTAGGGCGCTCACCTAGCACGTGTGAGGCCCTGGGTTCGATCCTCAGCACCACATAAAAATAAATAAATAAAGATATTGTGTCCAACTACAACTAAAAAAATAAATATTTAAAAACAAAAGGAAAAAATAAAGACTATTTCTAATATTGAAATATTTAAACAAGAAATTAAATGTTTAGGATTTCCTTGAAAATAATTCAGTAGCAGTAGAGATGGGATAGCCACAAAATGATAACTTGAAGCTGGGTGATGGGTACAAGGGGTTTAATGATATCTTGTTTTTTCTACTTTTGTGAATGTTTGAAATTTCTACAGTCAACAAAAAATCCATCAAAGACTGAAAAAAGTCATGAATAGTTATAATTTTTCTCCCTTAAAAATTCCATAGTAGGGAGAGACAGTAGAATGAATCAGACATAACATTCCTATGTTCATATATGAGTACATGAGCAGTGTAACTCCATATCATGTACAAACACAAAAATGGGAAGTTATACTTCATGTATGTATGCTATGTCAAAATACATTCTAATGTATAACTAAAAAGAATTTAAAAATTCAAAAAAATAAAGGAGATTGTTGTTAGTGTCCAAAATAGGGAAACAATGATATGCATAGGATATATGCTCTGATGTGAAATGTTGAATTTAATAAAGTTATTTCCTAATTGTCTTTTCTCAAAAAAAATTCTACAGTAGGGGCTGGGTGATGTAGCTTAGTGGCAAAGTGCTTTTAAGGCCCTGGATTGGATCCCTAGCACCAGATAAAAAGTATCTACAATAAACTATAAGCTGTCCCCTTTACATTTGCCATAAGAGGAAAACAAATCCTTGTGAAATAAATTTAACAAAAAGCAGTACCTTGTTTCTTATGCGGTCTCTCTTAACCACTTCCTCTTTCTTTTCAGATTTTTCTGAGCTGCCTATTGATTCTGTACTTTCATTCTTCTTTCCTTTATCACGAAATGCTTCTTTCTCTTTTTTAATCTCTTCTTCTTTTCTTTTAAAAGCTTTCTCTTTCTCATAGCGCTCTTTCTGCCTTCGGCGCTCTTCTTCTTGCCGCTTTAGTCTCTCTCTCTCACGGAAAATGCGCTCCTGATCTCGTTCGTAATCTCGTTCCCTCTCCCTATAGTCTCTGCAACTCTCATCTTCAGATCTGCATGAAAACAGAGACTGAACCCTCAAACATAACCACAAATGCAGGAACACTAATTCTGATTTGGCCACTGCAGTGAGGTTGCACTTTTACAGCAAGGAAAAAAATACTAGTGTTTTAGAAAACAACAAGACCCCAAAATCATTGATCCAGATTAAGTTACCAGAATATTTGACCTTCCTCCTTGTCTCCTTATCCCATATTAAACAGTTTTATCTTAATCCAAATACAATTCCAGGTTATAGCAATGAAATTAGCATCTAGCAATCAAATATAGCCAAGAGCCCTTGACTGACTTACCTCTTTGGCTTTTCATCTTTAAATTCGCCTTCAGAATGCTTGGGCAGTATACAACTTTGCCCACTGGGTCTTTCATCATTCAGATTCTCTTTGTCCAGTTTCTTGGCTTTTTCTCTTTTGTCCAACTCTTTTTCATCTCCTTTTTCTGGTTTCTTGAGTAACTTTAAAGAAAACACGTTGTTTTATTTTGAAGAGTGGGGCACTGTCTTTGGATTCAATTAAAACAATATACTAAATATTTAAAGTTTAGACTGTAGAAGGCCCCCATATTTCTGCAGGTTCTCTTAATCTTTCAGGTGAACAATTAGTGCATGAGAATAGTAATGCTATTAATGTGAAAGTGTTATCCACCCAAATTAAGTGGCTTAATCACTTTGTGGCAATGGGATCAAGACTCCTTTGGCTTTGAATGGGTCAACCTGTAAGTGAACCAATGCACACCTCCAAGTATGCTTTGTAGCACACCAGCATGTCTATCAATATAATTTGATGGGAAAATATTTCACAAATTCAAAATGCTATGTAGATCATTACTATAGAACTATCTATGGGTATGAATTTGGAATGACAAATATCTTGGTCACCAAAGGAGAGATCCATTGCAGGAATAATTCTGCCTTGAGCCTGAGAATAACATATTTATGATGGTAAAATTATCATTAGAGATAAATAGCAAGAATTACCTGGTATTTGATTTAAAAATCCAAATGCCTTATATTATAGATGGGGAAGTTCCATCTCTACTGAGTAGGAACTCCATTCAATGGCATATATACATACATATATATATATATATATATATATATATATATATATACACACACACATATAAATATATATAAAATATATATATACACACATATACACACACACATATATATATGACACACATATATATATGTTCAAAAATGTTATTCTTTCTCACATCACTGCTATAAATCTCTCTAGAATACCCACACTTAAGTGTAGTCAGAGAGATTCTTAGGCAAAATAGAAGTATTTTAAGTCTCAAAGTGAGGGCTTCATACAAGGTTCATCTCAGGGTAAAGGCATCATACTAGTCACCAAGCAAAAGGCAAAGCATCAGAAGACTTAAGCATGGAGCATTCCAGCACACAGACAGCCACTGCAAATAGGAGTCCAAATTGGACAAGAAGAAAGCACCACTGTAAAGTGAGGATACCGTGTGCAGGTTTCATTGGACGTGTTCTTATTTCTTTAATGAACATCTGTATTTGAAGCCAAGATGTTTATTATTCTAATAAGAACATTAATGAATGTCTCTAGCATGGCTGGCTCTACCTTCTGCCTTGCTGATCATCAGGAATAGCAAGTCAAATCACTTGTGGCACGGCAGACAAAGAGATTGCTGGAAAGAATTAAAATGGGAAACTCCCCCTTCCCCTAAGCACCTATTACCAATAATGAGTCCTGTGCAGACTCAGGGAACCCTAGCCACATAAACTTCTGAGTTTTCAGGAGGTAAAAGGAGACCCTGCTGCCATCTCTATGAGATGTTCTCTGACTTTCTGAAGTACTAGGTACTAGTACTTCCCCAAGAAGTAAGAACTGCCCAAGCCATGCCCTCAGAAGAAAAGCAGCAAGGTTGGGATCTTTCTACAGGGTTTCTCCTTCCTACATGCAATGCACTGATCAGAATCTGCTACTCACAGATTCTCAGATGCAAGAAGATAACATGGGAGTCATGTGAGAGGGGAAAAATACTTAATGCAGGATATTTATCCCTAGTCCTCCCACAAGGCAGCCAGTTATGAGAGGCATATAAGATGATGAGAAAGAGGTATATAGGCCTGGTTGTCCTCTGGCTGTATGTCATTGAAGCAGAACATTAGGAAATCACCTCAGCTTCATTTTAGGGTAGGAATTTAAATAGCTCAGCTTTTAAAAAGACCCACATCAGTCTGAATGGGTTTAATAGGTAACACTACCACCACCACCACCAAAAGGACTGAGGAGCTAAGACCTGTGTGTGTGACATGATACTAGGTGCTCTGTATCATGTAATTGGTCCTTACATTTTTCTGATTCACAGCTTGTAACAGAAACCTGTGTACCTGAAGACAGTGGAAAACAAACAGATGAGGCAACTTCATGTATCAATTATGAAGGAAAAGCTGAATAAAACCCAAAATTCATGCCAGCCAGCCCTGAGCCCTCATTTACTGTGAACTGAGACTAATAGTCCAAATATCAAACATTTTCAATGATTTTTAAAAAAGATATTCATTAAATAATATCATATACAATACTTAATCCTTATAAATTATCATAATTTAAAAAATTATTTTAATAGGAAAGATTTTTACTGTGTACTACCACCCCCTGCAAAAAAGGACAACCCCCCCAAAACAGCAACAACCAAAAAAACTCATTTACACAAACACAAGATGCATGCAAAAAAAAAAAAAAAAAACATGCAATTTTAAGCAACATGTAGTTGGTTTCAATTATTTTCATACCTTAATCTTTGGTTCATCCTTTAATTTGTCTCTTTCTGGAACTCTATCTATCTTCTTTAGCTTTTCTATATCTTTCCTTTTTCTTTTCTCCTCCTCTTTCCATTTCCTTCTCTCCTCTTCTCGTTGTCTTTTTCTTTCTATTTCTCGCCTTCTTCTTTCTTCCCTCTTTTCTTCTCTCATTCTCTAGAAAGAGACATTGAAACAAGTCTTCAAACAAAACATCACCTAAAACCTAATCAATCCCAAAGGCATGGTAGTCACTCACTAAACTGAATCATCTTTCCTTCCTACTTTCTACCACCTACTCAAACCCCCACCCTACTCAGAAAATGAGAGAGAAAGTAGAGAACCTGCTAAAATCCCACTGCTGCCTTCTATATTTTCAGAATCTTTCAATATGTGTCAAGAATGTCTCTGGGATAAGCTAAGGGCTCTGCAGATTTGCAGAGTGAACCCCTGGTCCCACAACCAGAGTGAAGGAGAAGGCCAAAGTGAGACTAAGGAGCCAATTCTTTAAAGAACAGTTGTGGAAAAAGTGGCTATTTCTCCTATATGAGCCCAATGCTCTTAAAATGTTTATAGAATATGAACTAACGAATTTAAAGAGAAAACTATAAAAACAAAAGATTTACCTGCTTGTTTTTCAGGAAGCTCAATAGTGGGGTTGTCTTTTTAGCTACATAAATATAAACAGATTGTTAATAATACTTGTCAACCCTTAGAAAGGATTCCACTTTCTGACATTTCATGCCACCAAACCAAGATGGGAAAACTATACCCCTTAGACAGAAAGTTCACAATTGTATTATCAAAAAGAAGTTTAATAGTATTTGATTTCAACAATACAGGTTTAAAATACTTTTTTAAAAACTGAAGAAACTCCCATTAAAATAATAAATCAATCTTTTAAGAGTAAATTTGCAGTTAGTGAGAATTATGTACAAAGGTCATTCTCTTGTTTTACTGATAGGAGTACAAATTTGTTCGAGTGGAAACAAATTGAAGAGACTAAAAATATCCAATCCTTTTGACCCCGTATTTCCACTAAGGGAATTTATTGTAAGGATGTTACCCAAAATGGACTTATCTTATGCAGCCATTAATAAAAAACAAGTTTTAGACGAAAAATAAGTCAATTTTTTAACATTCTGAAAAATGCTATGAGCCTTATAGTCATCTCTTTTTTTTTTTTTTTTTTTTGGTACTGGGGATTGAAATTGAACCCAGGGGTGCTCAATCACTGAGCCACATCCCCAGCCCTTTTCACTTTTTATCTAGAGACAGGGTGTCACTAAGGGCTTTGCTACATTGCTGAGGCTAGCTTTGAATTTGCAATTCTCCTGCCTCAGCTTCCTGAACTGCTGGGATTACAGGCATGTGCCACCACGCCCTCCTGCAATTAACTTTTGGAACACATTACTTCCTGAAAACAAATTCCTAGGAGTGGAAATCATAGTCAAAGACTATGCTCCTGTTTAGAACTGCTACTGTAATATCAACCTTACTTAGAACCAACATTCAAGCTACAATTTCTCCAAGAGTTTTTCAATTTTGCAGTAACTAATTTCATTTTTTCAGGTCAAAAAAATTTTAAGAATACCAGGTAATCTTCAAAGACATACCACTGTCTAAACATGCCTTATCAGTCTTTAAACTTTTTTTTAAACATGACATTATGCAGGTAACCAAGAATTTGTCCCATCTTATCAATGCATTCTCATAATTCTGTGAGACAGGTATTATCTCTGCATTTTCCAATAGAAGAAATACTCAGAGAAGGGAGTGACTTCCCCAAGGTCACACAGAGCAAGTGAGGGAAATGGGAGATAGACTTGGGTATCTGATGAAAAAGCTGTTGCCCCAATTCCTTTGCCCACTTACCTATTAATTCTCTGTTTTTGGCTTCTATTTCCTCTAGCAGTGTCTCTGGAGTAGATGTCATTTTCTCATTATCTGTGGCATAAGTCTCCAAAAATTTTCTATATTCTGGATCTAAATAATCATTTAAGAAACCAGAAAACTGAGACTTTAAACAAAAAAGGAAATACTATCTAAGATACTTATTTAGCAAAGAAGATAAGTTTCTACTTCATAAAAAACTGAAAAATACAGAAGATAAGACTATTTGGGGCTTAACTGGTCCCTTACTCTTAGAACTCCCTTTACTAATACCTACTAAGGGAATTTGGGTCAAGAAAAATGAGACACCACACATTTAAACAGACTCACCAGGGGTGTTATAGTTTGCTGTTAAAAATCAACATTCCTACTAATCCGAGTCACACTTGTGGGAGAACTAAATAAAAGTTATATATGTGGAACCTTCAGAGAATATTAGGTATAATATATAAGCAATTCCTATATGAATACACCTCACTTTAAGTAAATTCAACATAGAAAATCGGGTGTTCCAAAAAGATAAACTGGTGAGATGGAGGGAAAGTCCTAGATGTGGTACAGGAGGCAACAATAATTCCTGTAGTTCTTTCCTAGAAACCTCTCAGAAAGAGATATACATCTGGCTCATTTCTACACATTGATCTTGTCTTCTGTATCTAAATCTGTGGTATCATCAATAAGCAGCTATGTTATTGAGTTTTTACTATTTAATAACATATCTTTTATGTTAACAAATGATAGAAATTCAACCAGATGATCCTAAAATATCAATCTCTCATACAAAGTATTTGCAGTAAAAAACCCTTACCCAAAATAACAAAGAGTTATTACACAATACTTGTCCAGCATAACAATACAGAGATCTTAAAATCTGGAGCTGGTCTACCTAACATAGAACTTATTGTAGTTTTTTACTTCCTGTATTTTTATTCAACCTAATTACTACATGTGCGGTTAACTACATATTCAAAGCCTAGAAAATAGTACTGACTACTTCAACAACTTTATATGAAGTTACTTGGGTATGGAAATTTTTCCATCATGGTTCAAACCTTCTTCTTTATAAAGATGATGGAAACTAAAAATCAAATAATTGTAACAATGATAAGGCACCTCAAGGAACAGCTGTACTTGGAAACATCTGATTTTCCCCCATTGTCTTCTACTTAATAAACCCATGATGATTTACCACTCAGTAGTCAATATCATATTGCTCAGTGGTAGAAGAATGAAATGCCACTAGCCAGAAAGCAGAAACTCTGCAAGAAACCCATCTACATTCTAAGAATTAAGCAAAGCTTTCACTGAAATAACATTTCTCATTAATTTTATTCTGTGTGTTTTCTAATTTAAAATACTGGGGTCTAATGAATTCTTAAAATTGACTTAATTTTTTAAAAGTCTATGGCAATAGCATTATGTAACTAAAGCTATACTGTACCATCATCAATAGTCCCAACTTTGGTATCTCTTTTCTTAGTCTTCTTTTTTGCAGCTTTTTGAAAAGGTGCAAATTCTACTATAGCAGGATATTCCTGACCTGTTTAGAGAAAAAAATATATATACTTTCTATAACAAAGAAAATGTAAAAAGTGGATACAAGAGAATCTATCCACCGTTTTCTAGGTCTCCTCAGATGACAGTCATTTGAAGACAGTCTCTCAAATTGCATAAATCACACTGGCACAATTGTAATCAACAGGCTACCAATGGAGCCCCAAATTCACACTAAAAACATAATTAGTGACAATGGCAGCAAGCTGAGTGTGTGGCACACACCTGTAGTACCAGTAGCTTGGGAGTATGGCTTGAGCTCAGAAGTTTGAGATCAGCCTGGGCAACACAGCAAAACCCTGTCTCAAGTACATTAATGAAGATATGGCAGGTAAGTAAAATATTCATTTAAATTCAACTTGTAAAATGTGGCACTTTGATATGTAAAAACAAACCCTGTACATTTTTGTTTAAAAAAATTAGAAATCTTGGGCTGGGGTTGTGGCTCAGTGGTAGAGTTCTTGCCTAGCATGTATGAGGCACTGGGTTCGATTCTCAGCACCGAATATAAACAAATGAATAAAATAAAGGTCCATCAACATCTAAAAAAATGTTTTAAAAATTAGAAATCTTGGGCTGGAGCTTAGCAGTAGAGCGCTCGCCTAGCACGTGCAAGGAGTTGGGTTTGATCCTCAGCACCACAGTAAGTAAGCAAGCAAGCAAGTAAATAAATAAATAAATAAAGGTATTGTGTCCAATTACAACTAAAAAAATATTTTAAAAAATTAGAAATCTTGCCAGGCATGGTGGCGTATGCCTGTAATCCCAGCAGGTTGGGAGGCTGAGGCAGGATGATCACGAGTTCAAAGCCAGCCTCAGTAAAAGCAAGGCACTGAGCAACTTAGTGAGACCCTCTCTCTAAATAAAATACAAAATAGGGCTGAGGATGTGACTCAGTAGTCAAGTGCTCCTGAGTTCAAACCCCAGTACTAAAAAAAAAAAAAAATAGAAATCTCTAGAACAGGCAAATTTAAAGAGAGGTAGAAGCTAGATTAATGGTTGACCAGAGCTTGGGATGATGGTGGTGAGAATAGGAGTTAACAACTAATGGGGATGGGGTTTCTCTTTGGGGTGAGGAACATGTTCTATAATTAGATGGTGGTGATGGTTGCACAACTTTGTAAATATATAAAAAGCCACTGAAGTATATACTTTAAAAGGGTAAATTTTATGATATGTGAATTATATCTCAAAAAAGCTATTACTTTTAAAAAGGTAACTACCTGAGTTGATAGGTGTGTTAACTAAATTCATTGTGATAATTTCACAATACAAATGTATATTAAATTATCATATTGTACAATTTAAACATATATGTTTGTCAATTATACCTCAATAAAGCTGAAAGAAAAACCTGTTAATGGCAAAAAACAAACAAACAAAAACCCCAAGACACGAAAAGCATAAGTAATAAATGTAAAAAGAGGGGCGGATCTCATGTGAAGTACTCTCACTACAATAAAACTCTTGTTAAAAAATTAACTGGGGGCTGGGATTGTGGCTCAACGGTAGAGTGCTCGCCTAGCACATGCAAGGCCCTGGGTTCGATCCTCAGCACCATATAAAAAAATAAATAAAATAAAAGTATTTTGTCCAACTAGAACTAAAAAATAAATATTTAAAAAAATTAATTGGGCTTTATCAAAATTAAAAACTGTGCAATAGGGCTGGGGTTGTAGCTCAGTGGTAGAACACTTGCCTAGCATATGTGAGGTCCTGGGTTCAATCTTTAGCACCATGTAAAAATTACTAAATGAAATAAAGGTATTAAAAAATAATTTAAGGGCTGGATTGTGGCTCAGAGGTACAGCACTTGCCTACAATGTGTGAGGTACTGGGTTTGATTCTCAGCACCACATAAAAAATAAACAAAGATATTGTATCTACCTATAACTAAAAAATAAATTTAAAAAAATTTTAAAACTGCACCAAAGGACACATTCAACAAAGTGAAAAGATAACTGAAAGAAAATAGTTCCACATCATATTATCTGACAAAGTGTAATATCCAGAATATATAAAGAATTTCTACAACTCAACAACAAAAAAACAATTAAAAAATGGTAAAAGTACTTGAATAGAAATTTCTCAGGGCTGAGGATATGCTCAGTGGTAGGATCCTTGCCTAGCATACACAAGGCCCTGTGTTCAATCCCCAATAATGCAAAAAACAAAAACAAAAAAGAATTATCTCCAATGATGGTATGCAAATGGCCAACAAACTTATGGAAAGATGTTCAACATCACTAATAAGTAAGGAAATGCAAATCATAACCACAACAAGCTATTACCTGTTAAGATGGCAACTATCAAAAACCAAAGATGCTGGGCACAGTGGCTCAGGAGGCTGAGACACAAGTTTGAAACCAGCCTCAGCAACTTAGGCCCTAAGCAACTTAGCTAGACCGTGTCTCAAAATAAAAATTGGGCTGGAGGTGTGGCTTAGTGGTTGAATGCCCCTGGTTCAATCCCTGGTAAAAAACAAAAAGAAGAAAGGAAAGAAAGAAAAAGAAAATAACGTGCTGATAAGGATGTGGAAAAATCGGAACATTTGTTATTTTATTTGTGGGAATGTAAAATGGTGTATCTGTTAGGAAAAACACTATTTTTTATTCCTCAAAAATAGAGGCTAGGGATATAACTCAGTGCTAGAATGCCTGCTTAGCATGTTTGAAGCCCTGGGTTCAATCCCAAGGAAAAAAAAGAAAAAAGAAATCAATTACCATATGACCCAGAAATTCCACATTTGCACACCCATGTTCATAGCAGTATCATTCCTACTAGCCAAGAGTAGAAGCAACCCAAGTGTCCCTTGATAAATGGATAAACAAAATATGGTGTATATGTACAATAGAACATTCACATTAAAAATGAAATTCTGATACATAATACAACATGGATGAACCTTAAGAATGTTATGCTAAGTGAAGCCAGTCACAAAAAGGTACTGTATGATTCCAATTATTTGAGGTATCTAGGATAGTTCAAATTCATAGAGACAGACAGTAGAAGTATATGGGGAACAGATGGCTAGTTGTTTAATAGGTAAAGTATCAGTTTTGCAAGATAAAAAAAAAATTGGCACTGGGAATTGAGCCCAGAGGCATTTTACCACTGAACTACATCCCCAGTCCTTTTTATTTTTGAGATAGGGTCTCACTAAGTTGCTGAGACTGGCTTTGAATTTGTGATCCTTCTGCCTCAGCCTCCCAAGTTGCTGTGATGTGTGCTACTGTGCCTGGTGCAAGATAAAAAATTTCTGGATTGGTTGCACAATATGAGTATACTTAACACTACTGATGTACACTTAACAATGATTAAGATGGAAAATTTTATATTAATTTTGCCACAATTTAAATAATGCAGAAAATAATAAAAAAGAATGAAGTGATGATACATGCTATAACATGGATGAACCTTGAAAACATTATGTTAAGTTAAAGAAGTCTGTCATAAAAGACCACATATGTATGTTTATATGAAATGTCCAGAATAAAGAAATTCATAGAGGTACAAAGTAAATTAGTGATTGTCAGGGACTGGGGGAAGGGGAGAATAGGAGATGACTACTAATAGACATATAAGTGTCTTTCTGGAATGATGAAAACATTCTGGAAATAGTTGCACAGCTTTGTGAATATACCAAAAACCACTGAGTCATATACTTTAAGTAGGTGAATTTCATGGTATGCGAATTTATATCTCAATAGAAAAAAGAAAAAAACAAAACAATTACTAGAAAAAATTCTCCAGATTCCAGCCATAGAACAATGTCACACAAGGTACAAACTACTACTTTGATCATTGGCATAAATGAGAATAAGAATTGACCTAAAGGCATCACAAAGCAATCATAGAGGAAATGTGGTTTTAGCAAATGGAGCTGAGGTTATAGTTCAGTGGTTGTGAGCTTGCCTAGCACATGTGAGGCACTGGGTTCCATCCTTAGCACCACATAAAAATAAATAAATAAAATAAAGGTATTGTGTCCATCTTTAACTAAAAAATATATTTATAAAAAGAGGGCTGAGTGTGGCTCAGCGGTAGAGCGCTCATCTAGCACATGTGAGGCCCTGGGTTCGATCCTCAGCACCACATAAAAATAAATAAAATAAAGGTATTGTGTCCAACTACAACTAAAAATATAAATGTTTTTTTAAAAAGAAATCCTAGCAAATGCAGAATCAGATTAGCTAAATAATTGTGATATATCTGAGAAGGAATGGAATAAATAAACCAGACTAAAGCAGAGGGAAATTGTGGAAGACAGGCTGAAAAAGCAGGAGCAAGGCCAGACTATGGAGGGCTTTGGCTAACAATCTGAGTTCATACTTTCATTCTTTTCCACAACTGTTAACTTAAAAAGATTAATTTTATGACAATACATTGAATTAAATATAAATAGAAAATCCTGTAAATTTACAGACAGTAGTTGTCTAAGCATTAGCTGATAAGGACATAAAATATAAAAGTATAATTAGGTCTAGGAGAATAAGACAATAAAAACATTAAACTGACAAGACTCATCACTTGTATTAAATTTAAGTTTTAAAAAGAAATGTAAAAATCAAACACAACTTGGATTTCCAAGCTAAGTAAATAGGAAATCATTACTATCTACTGGAATAAAAAGATGGAAAACCATCTTTTATCCCAAAAATAGGGTGGATAACTAGATGGTTTGAGGGAATTAATAAATGTGGGAGTAGGGCGGGGATGTAGCTCAGGGGTAGAGCACAAGCTTAGCATGCACAAGGCCCAAGGTTTGATGCCCAGCACAAAAAAAAAAAAAAAAGTTGGACAAACACAGGTGGCAATCCTTCTTCAGCTTTTATTGGCATAATCCCTGATAAATTTTACCAAATTGAAGTAATACTAAGAAAACAAAACAAAACAAACCACACCATTTACCTATGATTACAAAGCCCCCCAAAAGGTAAGAAATGGCAACTTGGATATGTTCTGGCTAAATGTTGCAAGCAGCAGGTTTTAAATAAAAAGCAAGTTAAGGCAGAACTATGCCTTCCCTGTAGACTAGACCCTTCTGGATATAATGTAGGAGGATCAAACTTGATGTTTTAATTATATACAACTGTTGGCTTAAAAGATATGAATTAAATAATTAAATAAATGGTCCTTGAAGCAGGGTGAGAAGTAAATATTTAAAACTTGTCATACAAGTTTAAAGAGTCATTTACCAGAATTGCTGCTGTGACTAAACAGTCAAAACAGAAGGTCTAATCCAGGACAAAAAAAAAAAAAAAAAAAAATCTGTCTCACAAAGAGAAAACTGTGGCAATTTCATTCGGTTGATCAAATTAAAGAAATAACAGGTTAATAAAAATACCCAGGACTACCAATTTATAAGAATACAATAAGCTTATAAAATGTGTAAAGCTTTTTAAATGTTACACATTTTATCACCTAGGATTTTAGAAAAGCTACCTACAAAGTCATGGAGAAAACACTGCCATGTGTATATTGTTTTAAACATAAAAATGACAAACTCCCCTTCTAGTTCAGTTACAAAGACTCACCTTTATTGTCAAGGAATACATAACCATCAAAGCGATCCCTGAACAAAATAATGTCCTCTTGGTTTTTAAAGTTGATGTATGCTCTGGCATACATATGAGGATACAGACTGCAGAGAAGAAAGCAATTATGTAAATGTACTTGCATGTGTCTGGCTGAATTACAAGTACACATTTAAAGAGACAGGATCAAAAATCAAATGAAAAACACTAACAAGGTAAAAAGAATGGAAGAAACCTTTTTCATTTACCCCTCCCTCTTTTTTCTTTTACCTAGTGTCATTAGAAAAAAACTCAAAATAATCATGCTCAGGCATAGGTTGAAGATGTTCCTGAAGCTGTTCCTTGGTCAAAGTGGGAGGTAATCTTCGAATTACCACCTTAGGAAATGAATAAGGAAAATAAAATTAGTACAAGTCAACTTTCTATCATACCTGAAAGAATCACAGTCCCTGAAGATCGGCTTTAAAATATAAGATCACTTATTAAAACCCAAGAGAAAATATTCTTCTGTAGTCCAATGCTCAGAATTAGTCAAATGTAATACTAACGCGGTTTTTAAAAACTCCTGGAAATGAAAACCGCCTGGGGCAAGGAAAACCTCCCGTTCTGCTGTTATCGCACAGTTTACCAGTTTTGGGAAACACTGTCTACTATTCATTTCCAATAGATCTAGTAGCAAATTAGCATACCATCCCTGGTCTTTTGCCATGAAATTTGAATTTAGTGGTATCTCTCATCCAGTCTAACACACCCTAAAACAAAATCCTTGACCATTCAGCTTAAAGAGGTAAAAACTCCATAACGCAGACAAAAAATTCGTCCACTGCTCTCAAAACAGTATGTTCTCGATCTGCCTTTCCAGACAATTAATCCTCCTAGCCCTCTCCCCCAATTCACCTCGATTAATATTCCTACCGCAAACTACTCCCACCCCGATGTTCCCTTCACTAATAATTCTCCCCAATTAAACTTTATTCCTCATTCCTTTACTTCCGCTCTCCCCTCCCATTATCATCTAGAAGCTCGGACCTAAACCCTTGTCTGGGGAATTCCCTTTTTCCCTAACCCCACCCCAGAGCTTGGTCAGGAGGGACGCCCCCCCATTTAGGGCTAATATACAAGACAAAGTGAAGCGATTTTCATTCAGACGAAGAGAGAGAAGAACCAATAGAGGAAGAAACAACCCCATTCCAGCAACCTCCACGAGCCATGGACCCGTCCCGCCCTCTCGGGCCAGCTGCCGCTGGGCACCTTGCTTAGAGCTTCTTTCTTCTCCTTGTTGCGGTCCTGCTTATCGTCCCCTTTGGCACCTTCCAACGAAGCCCCACCGCTGCTTCCTGTGGCCCCCGGAGGTGTTAACAGGGTTACTCGCTTCTCCTTAGGCCTGTGCTCCTTTTCTTCCTTCATGGCCACGGTTACGCTCCTCCGAGCGGCCGCTCAGCCAACGCCGTTACGCTGGGCACCTACGACTCGCGGGTAGCTCCCGTTGGAGCTCCGCCCCCAACAAATACCCCTAGTGATAAGCCGAGCTGCGTGTTCCATTGGGCCCCCCAAAATCTCGCGATACTTCAGGGTGCTCAGCTTCCCTTAGTGGAAAGGTTCTAATACCTGGTCTTTACTTCCCGCCTGCTGAGTCCCCGCGCCGCCCAATCCCCTCGCGACCCAGATTCCCTCGAGGCCCGCCCCTTCGCGCATCGTGAGCAACTCGGCCATCTTGACTAGAAACAGCTCTTTCAGGGAGTACATATCCCGGCATACAAAACGGTTATCCGCTTTTGGTTAGGAGTATGGGAACCTTAGATATCTCATGTTCCTATTTGTAATAAATCGAATCTTTTCACCTTGAAAATTTAGGAATTTTTTAAAGATCAAAATATAGGGGCTGGGATTGTGGCTCTGCGGTAGAGCGCTCGCCTAGCACGGGTGAGGGCCTGGGTTCAATCCTAAATAAATAAATAAAGTAAAGGTAGTGTCCAACTACAACTAAAAAATAAATATTAGAAAAGCCCAGACACATCCAGAGATATTAAAAATTGTGCTCTATATGTGTAGTAAGAATTTTAATGCATTCTGCTGTCATAAATTTAAAAATTATTTTTTAAAAGGCCCTATTTCTTTAAAAAATATATAGGTTTTGTGGGGGGGTACTTAGCATAATTCTTTGGATAAATAATATTATCCAAATTTTGCCTCACTCTGGAATAAATTGTGGGTTTTGTGAGATGAGTTGGAGGAGAGTCTCACTGCATTGCCCAGGCTATCTCCAGTGACGCCAGAATTAGACAGGCAGTCAGTATAGGTAGGTAAATCGAGGCAGGTCGGATCAAGGATCATGGAAGCCAATTTGAGTGAGTCCGGGAAGTTGGAGACTGCCCCCTGAGGGATTAAAATGCCTTCGGAGCTCTTCTTCCACCCAATCAAGATAACCTGCCCCGGTTCCCTCCCTACAGGGAGGGAAGTTGTGTCCTGGGCTGCTTCTCTCCTTTTGGCCCTCCCACTGAGCATCTCCTGGGCCTGGTCACTTAGGCAGGAAGCAAAGAGATAAGGGGAAGAGAGCAGGAGAAAAAAGGAAGCCTAAGACATATAAAAAAGGAGGAAGGCCTCACTTATTGGGATACCAGGATATCAGCTATTTACTTGCAGTGCTTCTCTAATGTTATACTTCAACATGTGAGGGAGCAAAACTCATCACCAGTAGCTGGAATTACAGATATACCACTGTGTCCAGTTTTGTATTTTCTATCATGGAATCCAAAGTGTACCTTCAGAGGCTTTAGTTTCTTTTCCATATATTGATTGGGATTTGTAGATACTTAAACACACAAGATATTGGTGTAAAGGAGCAGTATCACCAAAATGTATAGGATTTGTTTTCATCACCATTTTTAAAGTAAAAGGATTCTCTTTTGGTGCTGGGGCTCCATAGGAAGCAGGGGAAAGACCCAACTTGATTTAGTTGGGCTCACCCTCCTTCCCACTTTTAAAGAAAAAGCCAATTTTACATTATTTATAAATTACCCAAAGCTGGAAACAATCCAAATTCCCATCATCAGGTGAATGGATATGCAAAATATGGCACATTTCATAGAATACCACTCAGCAATAAAAATGAACTAATTATATACGCATCAACATGAGTGAATCTCAAAATGATTATATAGCCAGGGAAGGTGACCCATGCCTGTAATCCCAGCAGCTCAGGAGGCTGAGGCATGAGGATCATGAGTTCAAAGCCAGCCTCAGCAACTTAGTGAGGCCCTAAGCAACTCAGGGGTCTCTAAAATACAAAAAAGTGTTGGGGATGTGGCTCAGTGGTCAAGTGCCCCTGTGTTCAGTCCCCATTTCCCCCCCTCAAATAAAAATGATTATATGAAAGAATCCATACACAAAGAGAGTACATGCTGTAAGGATCAATTTATATGAACTTCCAGTAAAGGTAAAAAAAATAGTGATAGCAGATAAGTGATTGCCAGAGCACAGGGTAGGGAAAAGAGATGAACTGAAAAGGGGCTCCTGGCAACTTCTTGGTATGATGAAAACATTCTTTATCATGATTGTGACGGTTGCATTACTGCACATTTGTGTAAACTCATTGAATTGTCAGTAAAACTCAGCCCTACAAAATGTAAAATTTATTGTCCCAATGAGAAAGGGTTTGCATTATCAAATCTGATACCACTGAAGCTACCACCACTATTTTATATACCAAGAAAGTAAAATACTGGGCTGGAGATGTGGCTCAGGCGGTAGCGCGCTCGCCTGGCATGCGTGCGGCCCGGGTTCGATCCTCAGCACCACATACAAACAAAGATGTTGTGTCCGCCGAAAACTAAAAAATAAATATTAAAAAAAAAAAAGTTCTAAAAAAAAAAAAAAAAAAGAAAGTAAAATACTGCCAATTGAACTGCATTACACCGTAAACCTTTAAATTCATCCTGATTTCAGAAGTGTTAAAATGTGAAAAAAGTCTTAGACTCAATGAAACAAGTTAATTCTGTATCATGAGCAATTAAGGAAAAGGGGTGGAAAAAGCTGCTATTTTCCTTCTTTTTCAGTGAGTGAAATTAAGACATATATTGGTGGCTCAAACCCAAAATTACAGGGTTAGTAAGTAACACAGCTGATTCATAAATTCAAATTATATCTCAAGGTTGGTAGTTTAGATTACCTGGGGTAACAATAATGTTAATAAAATATTGCATTACAAAAATAGCAAGCAACTCTTCACAAACATTAATCATGTACAGTACATATTCTGTGGATATGGGAAGTAGGGAAAGATTGTTAAAGAGAGAAATAATGGAACATATAGAAATGAGACTCAAGCAGAGGTGTGTGGCACATGCCTGTACTTCTAGCCACTCAGGAGGCTGAGAGAGGAAGATTGCTTCAGCCCAGGAGTTCTAGACCATCCTGGGTAATGCAGCAAGACCCTGTCTAAAAGAAAAGAGAAGAAAAGAAATCAGGTTTGAGGAATTTAGGGCTATAAAAAGCTCCCAAATGCACTGGGTTAGTTTCTCAGCACCACATATAAATAAATAAAAATAAACACCTATCAACAACTAAAAAAATGTTTAAAAAAGAAAATTAGTTAATTTTTAAAAAAGCTCCCAAATGGGGGTGGTGGGCATCAAAGAATAATATATAAGACTATAAAAAATTAAGACCATAAATATTTCTCTTTTATGTAAACAACTTCTAATATTAACTTCCAAGACTAAAGGAAAAAATGTTTCAAAATGAGCACTTTCCTATTTCAAGTAGCATAGTGTACTGAAGATTAAAAAAAAAAAAGGTTTCCAATGTTAAGATAAGGTAGTTTATGTTCCTTTTTTATGAACAGTACAGATACCTTGCCTTTTCATTGTATCAAATACTTCCAACTAGGGCTGGAGCTGTAGCTCTCAGTGGTAGAACACAACACTCCCCCAGCATGCAGGAGCCTTTGGGTTTGAACTCCAGCACCACAAAAACAACAACAACAACAACAAAAAATGGAAATAAAAACAAATACTTCAAAATGTTGTTCAGATAATCATACAAATAATGAATAATAGTGACTTTTAAATGAACCATTTAGAGTCACTAGCTAAGGACAGGCTGTTCAAAATAAAAAGCTTTATCTTAATGTTAAGATGAGGAATTTTAAATTAATCTTTCTGCTAAAATTTTTAAAATTTTTTTCTAAACCTTAAACTCAAAAGGTGGTTTGCCTAATACCTCAAATCCTTCTTTTTTTAAAAAAAAAATTAGGTGTAGATGGACACAATACCTTTATTTTATTCATTTTTATATTTTGCTTTATGTTACAATTTAGATCTTGAATGTTTCCCAAAGGTCCAGCTGTTGAAAGTTGATGGCGTGGTTCCCTAGCCTGTGGTACTATTGTGGAGCCTTAGGAGGTGGGGCCTAATGGAAAGAAGTTAAGTAGCTGGGGGGCATGACCTTCAAGGAAATAATGGAACTTTGGTTTTTTTCACTTCCTGGTCCCCATGAGATAAGCAGCTTTGTTCCAGCCTTGTTCTACTACACGCTTCCCACCATGTCTTACTGCCTAGCCAGAGGCCCAGAAGTAATGGGACAACTGACCATGGGCTGCATCCTCTGAAACTGTGATTCAGAATAAATCTTTTCTGTTTATATTAAGTATTTTTTTCACAGTAACAGCAGACTAACATACTTTATTGATTTGATTGATTTTCTTGTACTCATTAATATTTTTTTCCATCAAACTCCTTCACGAATGTAAAACCCTACTCTATGTGGTCAAATACCATGTATCTATTACTTTTTGTTCTATTTGGAGGCATCTTTCCTTCTGCCATCTCACCTCCTACTTCTATAGGTTTTTTTTCCTAGTAATGGGGGTTGAACTCAAGGTGCTTTACCTGCAATCCTCCTGCCTCAGCCTCTGAAGTTGCAGGGATTACAGTCATGTGCCACTGTGTTCAGCATCATGTTTATTTTTAATTTTTTTTAAATTTCACCATTATTATGTAATTTTTTTAGATATACATGACAGTAGAGTGTATTCTGACATATTATACATACATGAAGTATAACTTAGTCTTATTAGGATCCCATTCTTTCAGCTGTACATGATGTGGAGTTTCACCCTAGTGTATTTAATTTAGTTTTTTTTTAAAGAATTATGCTGAGTGAAAAGAAGCTAAATATAATACTATATATACAATATTATTTAATTTGTTCAAAACTCTAGAAAATTCAAAATAATCTATACTGACAGAATCTTGATTAGTGGTTATCTGAAGATTGGGATAAAGACACAGAGAAACTGCTGTGTTCGTTTTTAAATTTTTGCTCTTGTATTATTTTCTTCCCTCTACCTGCTTAAGTTTATTCTGCTCTTTCTCTAGTTTTGTAAATTGAATGCTTTATGTAATAATTTGGAATTTTTCCCCTTGGTGCTGGGGATTGAACATAGAGCATCATGCATGATGCATGCCAAGCTTGTGTTCTACCACTAAACTAAATCACCAGCCTAGAAT